TCAAAATATCGCACTCCTATTATTTTGTGGACAACTGTACATACATATCTGTATCCTAAGTTACCACACAGTATGCAGATGTAGGCACTTAGTAAACCGATGAACAAGCTCTCTAGTCTACACACACACACTCACACGCATTACTGACAACCACACATCCGCCTTTGACAGCATCACACTTGAAAAGTTTTACACAAACTGTAGTTTTGGTAAAGGCTGATTAGCTGTTAGCTGGCTTGGGTGCTAAGTAAGGGGCTACATAAAATTGGGGATGGTGGGATAAACGAACGAAGCCAATTGGGTTGAGAGTTTATATGTTTGTATGTACATATGTATGTATGTAGAAGAAGGTTTGAGAAGTGTTTATGTTGTTGTTCCAATTGTTTAGTTTACTTAGCTGCTTGTTTGGTTTTTGGTAACGATCTAAGTTGATTAGGCTTTTGGTTTGGACTATCAAAAAACTTTATCCTTAAACGATTTACAGTTTGTAAAATAAACTAAATCAAGTGCTAAGACAGAATGTGTGCACATACAAATGGCAGATGTATGTATGTACATATGTATATACATACATATTTGTACTTTAAAAGCATACGTATTCACATTGGCATGCAATTAACTTCTTTACTCAGGCAGTTAAGCAGACGGACAAAGCGTTATACATATTTAAATGTGTGCCTACGCACATTTATTGCTTCATAGGTACATACAGTGGTGGTCACACAATTAAGAGCGTTACTTCTTTACGAGATTTGACCATATATATTTTTTTTTTTACAAAAATATAGTTTATGCCACAACGAAAACCAGGTAACTCAAACTTTTAAATCTTGTAAGAAATTTATAAAAAGTTGCAAAATCTCAAAAATGGTCATTAAAATTTCATTCAATTTTAAGATTATATTGAGCATTTTTTAAGCGACTTAAAATTCGTTTTGATTTTTGAGAATTTTTTTCTAACGATGTTACGCATTTTTTTCCTTACATACAAAGTACATAAAAAAAATTTGATATAGGAGTAAACGAGCAAAACCATCAGTTAAGAAAAAAGTTCTAATGAAAAGTTTGCAAATTTTAAGATTTTTTTTTTTAATTGGGCGAATTTTTATAAATCTTGTACAAGGTTTAAAACTTTGTGTTGCACACTTTTCGTTGTAGTAAACACTACATTTTTGTAAATAAAAATGAGGAATTGTGGTGATTTCTGAAATAGCTATCACTTCTACCATTTTTTCACATAATTGTTGCTTTTCCACAATAAGTTTTTTCATTAAAAACGGCCTCAAGCTGAATAAAAATTGTTGAATGTAAATAAAAATAAATAAAAAAAATAAATGGCCAAACCTTCGAAAGAAGTAGTATCACTATTTATGTGACCACCACTGTACATCTATTTTGTTTATTTAATGTAAATTTATTCTCAACCATGTAAACTTGCATGCTTTTCCGCCTTTATTTCCGATATTGTTTAAAGTTTTTCTTTTTGGCTTTTAGTAGAAAATGCTCTTAATTGCATTTGTTGCTTTAGTTTTCCCTGTAACTTATCTTTTATTTCCACAGAAAATTTAATTGAAAATCAATGCACGAAATCTCTTAATACTGGCCAAGGAAGAATGTTAATTAAATTCTTCTGGATTTAAACAATTTCAAAGTTTTTGCAGAACTTATTCATAGAAGGTTCGATATTGATTGGCAGGATAAAGATATGGAGCTGCCGTAGACGAGTGGTTAGATGGGAGTATAACATTCAATAGAACCCAGACTCTTTTGAGGATTTGAGCAGCATCAAAAAAGTTATAGAAAACATATTTTTCTTCCAGTCCAATTTTGCCATGAAAAGGGTTTCATATAAAATATTATTTCCCTTTCGCAGTGTTGCATTTAAAATAACTACGCTGGGTATTCATAATGTCATTCATTTGTCTTTCACACTTTTCTATTAATATATTTTTTTTTAGTTTTTGTATGTTTTTAAGCATTTCATTTTTGTTTGGCAACTACATACATATGTTTGTATGTATATTCTATGCATTTCACTTACCTTCATAAACAGTTAAAGTTGCATCAGCCGATACTGCATCACCAACACCATTTTCAGCTACACATTCGTATGGTGCATCGTCACGACCGGCACGTACTGGTTCAATGCGTAATATAGAAATGCCGCCAGGTTGTTCTAGCACCGTGTAACGGGATTGCGTGCCTGATAAAAAAAAGATAAATCATTTATAACCATTAATTTTTATAAATAAAACCAAAAAGACCGTAGCATATATGTATGTATATAAGTAGATAGTAAATCTTTGCCAAAGCATGACAGTACTATCTAGACTTCATTTAGGTGGCATTAGGCATGAAACGGTACGAAAAAATGCAATCACATAATCGATACTTTTCGTTCGATACCAAGTATTTTGAACCAAGTAGGTACTGAGTAGGTAACGGATAAAAATACTAACGGGTGATTTTTTTGAGGTTAGGATTTTCATGCATTAGTATTTGACAGATCACGTGGGATTTCAGACATGGTGTCAAAGAGAAAGATGCTCAGTATGCTTTGACATTTCATCATGAATAGACTTACTAACGAGCAACGCTTGCAAATCATTGAATTTTATTACCAAAATCAGTGTTCGGTTCGCTTTACGTCCGATTTATGGTCTACATAATCGACCAAGTGAGCAAACAATTAATGCGATTGTGACCAAGTTTCGCACTCAGTTTACTTTATTGGACATTAAACCAACCACACGAATGCGTACAGTGCGTACAGAAGAGAATATTGCGTCTGTTTCTGAGAGTGTTGCTGAAGACCGTGAAATGTCGATTCGTCGCCGTTCGCAGCAATTGGGTTTGCGAAACACATTTCGAACCGAACACTGATTTTGGTAATAAAATTCAATGATTTGCAAGCGTTGCTCGTTAGTAAGTCTATTCATGATGAAATGTCAAAGCATACTGAGCATCTTTCTCTTTGACACCATGTCTGAAATCCCACGTGATCTGTCAAATACTAATGCATGAAAATCCTAACCTCAAAAAAATCACCCGTTAGTATCGAAACCCGATACTGACAGGCCCATTCTGCGTTGCTAACAAACAAAAAGTTTACCGATAAATAAAGGTCCTGTCAAATTTTAAATCATATTTTTCGTAACCGGTAAATTTCTGAATAAATTAAAACGTTAACAAGGTACCTAGAATTGCGGTTACACGAAGTGGTGTCATTTCTTGGTAGCGAAATTTCGCTGCCTGTAAGGCAAATGCTGCTTCGGATTTTCCCTCTGTTATTCCTAATATGAATCGTCGTATGCTTTATGTCTGCTTAGAAGCTAGCGAAAACCGCGAGAAGGTGCCAAGGTCGATATTATGCAAACTATACACGATCCAATTACTTCACAAAATTCGATGTAATGCGTCCTATACACGACTCAACTGTTGAAGTGGAAGTGTCTAGTGAAAGAAGGTTCAGTTTAAAAATAAAGAATACTCTAAATGCTCTATAAATCGAAACTTTGTATGAAAATTTCACTTTACAAAAGGTTTAAATCTATTTTGTTTCTTAGAATGTGACCTTAACTCTATTATTCTCCGAGATGAAAATGATAAAGGTAGGGCACACTAGCTATGTTATTGAAGAAAAGAAACAAAAAAGAAAAATGAGTAGGGTGCAAAGTGATGATAATAATTTTCCGAGAAAAAACAAATATTTTCAACGTATCTCAGCCCAGAAAATTTAAACGCCATCTTCGCATCTAGTCTGGAGAATAGCAGATGTCAATCAAAAAAATTTTATAAATTCATATTTCAAATTTTGTGCAAAAATTATAAAAATTCTGTAAACTTGCATCTAAATTTTCAACTTTATGTAATACTTTTTTTGAGTATGTAGTTTTATAGCCCTCTTAACAGCGGTCGTCCCTCGGCAGGCAATGGCAAACCTCCGAGTGTATTTCTGCCATGAAAAACAGCTTCTCATAAAAATACTATTGCCGTTCGGAGTCGGCGTAAAACTGTAGGTCCCTCCGCTTTGTGTGACAACATCAAGGCGCACGCCACAAATCGGAGGAGAAGCTCGGCCAAACACTAACATATGTGTAAGCGCCAATCTATTATTATTATTATTATTAGTTTTATAGCCCATTCAATTTTAATAGAATGTGTGTTTTAAGTTGCTAAAAAATCGCGTTGATTTTTGGCAATTTATCGTAACGCATTTTCTTCTATACAAAGTATGTTCGACAATTTTTTCGTATGGAAAAAAGTGCGTTATATTTACATTCAGAATAAAAATTATATGCATCTGAATTGCTTTTTGCAAATTTTTGTTAGTAAAATTTTACCCACATATCCCTGATAAAGTCAACGGCCTCAAAGAAACGTTTTTTTGCTCTCTCGTTAAGGTTTTGAGGTCGACGGCCGGTTTTGCAAAGGCATCGACGATATGCAGCTTTCGGTCTGAAGTCGAACACATTAGAAGAAGAGGAGGAGCTGAAAACTGCATTTGCTTTGCTATATAAACAAGCGCGAACTTATTTAAATACATATAATGATTTTTTTTTCGAAAGCAGTGGCAACAATAACCAAGTTACATATATGTATTCTTGGGAAGTACAAACAAAACAATACTTTTCGCTGAAATATGTATTTTTGTAATAAATCTTTCTTTCAACGAAAATAATTTCTTGCAATATTTTCCAATGTATTGTCTGCCTGAAATATCATTCACCATTAATCATATTGCTTTGCCACGTAATTGTGTTTTATATATGTATTTTTAGTTCCTACAATATTAACTTTTATTATTTGGTATATAGGATTCCTGGAAAGTCGCTCTTTTCACTACACTGGTAACACTGGATCCCAAAATTTGTGTTTTTTCTACGGATGCCCCTATCCAATTCCAAGGTAGAATCGCTCAATGATTCTGAAAATCGGGTTAGTGGCTCGTATATCTTACGAACTAATTTAACAATTTTAATACGAAGTACGGCTGATGAAAGTTAACGAAATTCTTCATAAACGGCAAATACACAACTTTTCTATAAGCCCGGTGGTTTCTGAGAAATGAATTAATACTTCAAGATTTTTTGTTTTTTCATAAAAAAAAATATAAAAAAAAGTAAAATTTTAACAGATGAAAAAATTAAAAAAAAGAACTGATTCTGTGTAGTTGTTTTTTGTTTTAATTTGTGTTAAAGTGCATTCTGTTACAAAAAAAAATCAAGCTATTAATGAAGAAAATCGATTGATGAATAAAAAGGGAATGAGTGCTTAAATGACTAATCCAAAAAATTTTCCAATGAAAAAGTGGAATCTATCTAAATAAATGCATGTGTGAATGCGGTTAGAAATTCTGGAATTCAGTCGAGGAAAGTTTACTGCCGGAAATATTTTTGAGGAGGGCTGCCACCTGTTTGAAAAATTTTATTCAATAAAATTGATAAAATAAATGAAATATTACAATACGGGTATTACGCTAATGTGGTTTAAGAAAGTTTGCTGGCGAAAATATTTTTGAAGCGGGATGCCAACTATTTGAAAAATCTAATTCCGTTAAATCGATAAGATCAGCTGACTATTACAATATGGGTATCAAACGAAAATATTTGAGAATACTTTGATATGGAAATATCTCCAACTAGTAAATACCTCGCGCACATTTTTGCTTAAACTACAAAAGAAATTGGATTTCCGCTTTTTATGGAAGATAAATATACGGTATACGAATCGTTTATACTTTTTTACTTTTTAAATACATACCTTCGAAAATAAATTAAATTAAGCAGCCACATTCATAAAAAATTAAGAATACTTCAAAAATCGAAAATTTGTTTAAAAATCTCACTTCATTAATCCCTTTAAATTTATTTAATTTTTTATTTATAAGTTTTGGGAGGTGTAACAACACAAAATAACTTTAAGGCGCAGCGAAACAGGCCGGGTATTTGCTAGCTATTAATATAGTTAATAGCTTTAAAACTTACCGGATACTTTCTTAGCATTCTTGCGCCAAACTATCGATGGCGGTGGATCGCCACGAGCAGCACAGTAGAAACTAGCCACGCCACCCACGCGTACACCCTGATTCTGAGGCTTCTTGATAATCTCCGGTGGATCTGTGGAAGAGAAGAGGGTAAGAGTGCAATAAGTAATAATTATGAAAAGGTTAAAAGGAAGAAAAAAAAAAGAATGGCGACAAGAGAAAACCAGCGACCTAAGCCAACGGAAGTATGTAAGTGAACCAGCTCATTGAGAAGGAAACATTTTCAAGAAATTTCTATTAAAACAAAATCAAAGAAGAGCTAAGTACTATGTCACCGTCAAGTAAATGTACACTTCCTTTGTGGAAATGACCATGTGTAAATCGTGATTTTTTTGTTCTGTTTTAAACGCAGCACAAAATTAAATCCATTACTTTCCTTTGCACAAACTACACAAGCGTATGAGCAACTTTACGCTGTAAAATGCCAGATTTTTCCGCTACAAACGGGGCAACAGCGAGCACTGAAGCACTGGAAAAGAGCACGTAACAAGCTTTACCGCTAAGTCCCTAAACAAATCAACGAAACGTGTGAATGTATGTTTACGTTTAATACCCGATACAAATAGCGTATATGCTAGAAATAGGAATGGACGTGTGTATGTAGGTAGGTAGTGCTTACATCAAAGCGAATTGCACTCTGTATGAGTAAGAAGTGAAAAAAGAAAAATATCCAGAAATATTGGAAAAAATGAAAAGAGATAACATTCATATATGCACGCATGTATGTGCTTATATTTGCTTTTTCTACGTTCTTTCAACGTTACACGTTGACTAAAGCGCTTAAGGGTATGATAGCAGTGCGTGACAGGCCGCGTCCAGTACTTGCGCTTTGGTTACACACTCGGCTTTAATAGCAAATGCAAACACATCGATGTGCATGTTTGCATATAGTGATGTGAAAAATAATAGGTGCACGATATTTCGACCAGTTTTTGATAAACTTCCTTGGTTTATTTAATCTTTATTATTTTTATATAAAACTTTGTAGAAAAATAATAAAAAAAAAAAATTATTATAAATTTTTGAAAATAATATAAGAGTGCAGTTGTAGAGCCCATTCAATTTTTTTTCTGACCTGTCATGCATTTTCTTCCATACAAAGTCTGTTCCACAATTTTTTTTTGCATGGAAGAAAACAATGACACCAACCACAAAAAACATTATCAAAAATCATTATTTTACACATGACTGTACATACATATGTGTGTGTGTCTGTGGTCGCATATGCGGCGCTTTGCTTTGTTGCAGAATATATGGGCTACGGAATGTCGTAGGTATTTAAGTGCGTATTTTCGTCGTTGTTTTTCGTTTATGGCTGAGCGCCTTAACCACAACGAGATGAAGAAAAAAATTTTGTTTTTAAATTTGAGTCTAATCGCGCAAGCAAGCGAAATATTGCAATTTTGTTCAAACAAAATTAAATTTTTTATTTTTTTAAGTTTTAAAATTCTGCTGTTTTTCATGTCATTCATATTTGCCCATAATTATGCGTCTTGTTTTAAATGCAATTAATTGAAATGCTCTAATTTAATCACTTTTACCCAATTGACCTCATTGAAAGGCCGACTGGGTAACCGCGTCTGCCCCTAATTGTGTGCTTTTTTTTTTGTTCATAAGCACTTAACAAAAAGCACTTGCATCGTCTGATCTGAAATGTGGCGCTCAATATGCTATACGACGGACAACAGGAATATGAACATGTATGTATGTTTGTATGCATGGAATTTCACACATATGCGCCGCTCATTGTCGTCCACTTACGCGTGGCTTTGTTTGTTGTGCGAAAATGCGCAAAACTCACGAAATGCAAAGACGACACACACTAGCAGCTTAAATGCAGCGCCATACACGCCACTGTTCATAAATGTATGTATGTACATACACTATGTAGTGATATGTAATATGTACATTAGACAGCACCACTTCACAAGCAAACAAAAAAAAGTTTGCGGTACATCGCTGTAAGGCAATTTCGAAGAAAAGGCATGAGTAAAGAAAAAAACGGTCATGAAATGATCCTGAACTAGTAACGAAAGGATCTTTAAAAAGTCCCGAAACGGTCTCGACCGAATCCCGAAATTATACCGAGCTACGCTCTGTTTGACACTGAAATAGTCTTGAAACGGTCTCCCGAAATGGACCCTTATCAGCACCAAAATGATCCTCAAATTATCAGGAAATGGTCTTGAGCCAGAAATATTTCTTTGGCAAAAGCTTAAATGACATTAAGTTTAATTACATTAGGGTGATAAGATCTGATGCTAAGCACTATGCAGACCGGAGTACTTGAAGATATGCCGAAGATATGACGAAAAATATGAAAAGGGGACTCCTAGGTTCACATTTCGGGGTTCTGAAAAATTTCCTCCTCAGCGAGCGCTAAAAATAGCAAAAATCGAAATGTATTCGATATAAAAGTGTGATACATACATTTTTGAAATTATATCTTTAAGTAATATCCAACTGTCTACGTTGCGGTCGGCATCAAGTGGCTCTTTAGCATATAGCCTATATTATATATATTATATATATAGGCTATAGGCTATAGTATACTAAATTCCGAATAACTCATACGCCCCACCAAGCGAGCAACTTTGGCTGTCAAGCGAGTAATCAAGCAGACTAGAGTTACTTAATTTGAATGTACTAGTAAAATCTTCATATTTCAAAACTCAACGCGACTTGACTATTTGACTGTTAGTGACTGCCAGCAGGCTGCAGCCTAAGTTACTCACTTGCCGCAGCGTATGTGTTATCTACCAACATTATTTATAGGGCCATTCTGGCTGGGATAGTAAGAAGTCTTTCGCAAGACAAATGAAGGAAAGATGGCAAGATAGTTGGAAAGACTTTTGTTATTTTAGCACTAGTCTTAGAAAAAAAGCTCTCTCATATACCACTAGTGCCGAAAATCTATTTTGAGAGACAGCACTTGTATGTCATTAAGCTCGCGTCGCTACAGCAGTCGCAATGGCTGAGCGAAAAACCCCTGGCATGCCGTTCGAGAGATCTGAGTTCGTTTTTTTTTTTTTCAAACTAGAATTTTTTTCCTTTCAATTACATTTTCTTTTAATCTTCAGATATTATTGCTTTAAAAGGAAAAACATATATTTTTTAATTTAATTTAATTTATAGAAATTTATCTTAAGTATTTTTTTTTATAAACTTTAATTACTTAAAAAACTTGATTTACTTTTAATTTTTAGATGTTATTCTTTTAAAAAGAAAAACATTTTTGTTTTAATTTAATTTAATTTTTAGGAATTTATTTCGTTTATTTATTTATTTTCTTTTAAAAGATTAACTTTCTTTTGATTTTTAGATTTCTTTATTTATAAAGGATTTGTTTTAATTTAATTAATTAATTTTTAGAACCTTATGTTATTTTTTTATATCCTAATTTATTTTTGTTCTTTCTTAATATAATTTTTTTAAACTTTTGGATGTTATTCTTTTTTAAATCATTTAATTTCTAGAAGCTTACTTTATGTTGTCTGTTTTAATTTAATTTGGGTTTCTTTTGTGGGTTTGATTTTCTTTTGATTTTTAGATTTTATTTATTTTTTTATGAAATCAATTTTCTATTATTTCATTTGCTTTAACTTTTTATATTTACTTTTAAAAACATTTTTTTTTAATTGTAATAGTACGTTATTTTTTAATTTTTTACTTACATTTTTTTCTTTTTCTAATTTATTTTTAGATTTTATTGTTTAAAAAAATATATATATATTTTTTTACTTTAATTTTTAAAATTATTTTTATTTATTTTTGCTTTATTTTAATTTAATTTAATTTTATTAATTTGTTTTAATTGCTTTAAAAGGAAAGATAAATGTTTTTGTGATTTAATTTAATTAAAAAAAACTTATCTTTCCAATGATATATAACAACATTTCGAAATCAAGTCATAAATAAAAAAATTAGAACTCACCAAGGACATATTCTATATCTCTAAACTCCTCTCCAAGAATGGTTTCAACTAAAGCGGGTAATTGCATTCTTCTTTTTTCTTCTTGCGACCCAGTCTAATGTACATGCATACATAAATGATTTGCGCATGACTAGTTATGTTCATGAATTTATTTACTTTATTACTTTGCGCGTTTATTTTCAACTTTTCGCTTGCGCTGCTCATGGCAACGAACAATTTTCGGATTTTTATTTTCATTACAATTTTTTTTCAATCTGTTAAACAAAAGCGGTCCATACCATTTATTTACTACATATCCTGTTGCACAAAAGCATTGCACGCACGTCGACATATGGTTACCACCACTACATGCAAATTAAAACTGTGTTTTTTTTAGGTAAAAATAAATTTTTAATTTTTCTGAGTATTTTATGAAAGCTACACATACATACATAAGTACATATGTACATACATAAATATATAATGTTTAATGAAGCTCCTGTTTATTGTTGTAAGCGTGCGTGTAATATTATTGTTGTTATTGGGATATTTACATGAAATGTAAAAAATTAATTTTTCATGAACAAATATTTATAACGGAAGCGAGAGTGAAAATAAGTAATTTATTTACTTTGATGAGTTGGTAAATGGCAGCTGCGCGCACATCGAGCACATGTGTATGTATGTGTGTGTTAAATTAATGCATGTTGTGTTTAAGGTGTTAAATTAAAAATAAGAAACTGTTAGTAAAATCGAGCTGATGTTGGGAAATGTGGTAATGATGTGAAATAAATGCGAATGTAGAATGTAAAAATTTAATTATGAACAAAATTCTGTATTGAGTGTAATTAAAAATTTGTTAAATATGGGCTTTGAATAATACCAGCATAACACTGAATAAAAATTATTTAAATTTGGAAACGTACTAATTATGAGTAAAATAATTTAAATCAGCATTTATTCATTATCTTTTTCAATTGTTTTGAATTACTTTGTTCAAATATTTAAAATGTTTTTTTTTTTCTAATACAAATATGTGAGTTAAAATTTTTCATTTAAAATTAAAAAAAATAATGATGGTTTTCCATCCCTGATCAAAAAAATTTCATTGAAAAAAATATAACAAAATAGAAATCGAAAATTAAAAAAAAAAAAAAATCCTTTTTCAGTTTCTTCTTATTAGGCACTACAACCAGTTTGCAGTTTGTTACGAAGTTGCACAAATTGTTGAACCCCAAGTGCAGAAAAAAGCTCCCACAGTTTGCCATGCCATCTAATTGGGTAGCCCAGAATAGTTCTGTCGGTATCCCCTAAAGCACACACATCCCTTTATTATTGTTCTAAATCAGTCATGCCCAACGTCGGCAGAACTCCATAAGCAAGTGCCCTGCGCTGGCAGAATTCCATATGCAAGTGCCCTGCGCTGGGCATGACTGTTCTAAATCGTCCAAGTTTCTGCGCCATTTAAAGGAAGGGGCATTAATAAGAAACTTGCGGAGCGTGATCTTTGTTTGTCGAGCAAGAGCTCTGCTTTCCAATAGCCTACCGAGCTCAAAGTAGATCCGCTTCGGCAAGAGATAGTCTTCCTTCGATCTACAGTCTGGTCTGCTGTCAATGCTGAATCCTGGTTAGACGAAGTCCTTTGCTGCTTTACTTTATATTACTTTAAACCGTGGCGTGCGTCCCTAGGCACGGATACTCATTGTGTGTTGCCAGAAGGCGCTTTGTTTTTGGTCTTTCTCTCCAAGTGGGTTTAAAAACGGCGGGCAGGGAGTGTCTTTTACAGGTCCTGACGTGCCGTGAAAATGTGGAAATTTAGCAGGTCTGAAGCCAAACTAATAAGGTCGACTCAATTGCTTGGTGGGCAGTAATTGGTGCAAACAACAAGATCTTACTACTTGTGGAAAGTTCACTGGGATTGAAATGCGCCATGCCGATGCAGTCATATTAGACCGAATATGCGTCAGCAAAGCTGTCGTCACTACAGCAAAGTGTAAAACACTCTCCCTGGGTCCGTTGAACTGATGACACTATTTTCATGCGACGCCTTATCTGTATGTAAAGCGCGAGTTCACATTTGGTGCTTATAAAGTAGAGATAGTGCAGAAAGTTTAAATGACATTAGCAGGTTTGTTACTGTTAGCTACTAATCTACTCGATGAGGATCCCCCCTTCGCGACCTTTTTCGCGATACAGAGAATTTTAGTCTGAAGTAAAACTTTGCGTCCACTCAGGTAGGCTCATGCTGTTTTCATGTGCCGGAAAATAGCCTACGCTATCATCTCGGCCTGGCGATTTATTATGTTTGAGCTTGCGCGCAACCATTTGGAGCTCTTTTTAGGAATAAAATCAAAATTAAAAATCAAGTGTATAAAATTAAAACTAAGAATAAAATCTTAATTTAGTAAGAGCAGAGCTGTGAACAAGGCTTAACAATAAGTTAAAAGAAAATAATTGATAGGGACTCCAGCAAAAGCAAGGAATTAGATAGTGAAATATTGCTTTTGAACAAAGAAACAAAATTTTGTTTGTAGACACTCGGATATACAGTCGGTGTCATATGTAAGTGTACACCATGTTGTAATATAAAATTCAAAATAATTTTCATGCAAAATTTTTTTCATTAATTATTTATGAAAATATAGCTTATTCTATAACATAAACCATATAACACACTTTATATAAAGTTTACAAAAATTCATCAAAACTTCAAAATTTTTATTCAGAATTTCTAGAAAATTTTTGAGTATGCAGCTTTGTAGCTCGTTCAATTTTAGTAATTTTTTTTTTTTTTGTGGAGGGTGTTGCGCATTTCCTTCCATATAAAAATAGGTTTTGATCACGCGCAACACCCTCCACAAAAAAAAAAAATTATAAAAAATCAACGGTAATTTCTAGCGACTTGAAACTTGCACTTTGTACTGAAATTGAACGGGCTACAAAACTGCAAACTCGAAAATTTTCTAGAAATTTTTAATACAATTTTTGAAATTGTGATGAAAACTGTTTTTAATTTTTGTGAACTTTATATAAAGTGTGAAACTTTGTGTTATATGGTTTCTGTTATAGAATTATCTATATTTTCATAAATAATTAATGAAAAAAATTTAGCATGAAAATAATTGTGAATTTTATATTACAACAAGGTGTACACATACATTTAGCACCGACTGCATATTCTCCCTAAAGTGTCAGCTTTTCTTTGTCGCCTACATATGTACATATATCACGCAGTGTAAACCAAACAGCTAATTTTCAACAGCAACAAAAAGGATCGACCGTCAACCACTACAACACTCACACCCTTAGTGCGAGTATAGCATTTATAAACGAACTCCACCAACAAACTTACGTGTTAGATATTGTATATATGGAAAATCCGAAAAATTTGCATCTGCAACACACACACAGGAACATTAGATTCATTTGTTTTGCTTTGTTTTGGTTTTCTATTTTAATTGATTTTTTGTTTTGATTTTGATTTCAACATAATTTTTAATGCATTAAATTTAATTTATAAACTAACTGAGCTTGAATGCAAGCTGCTATTGTTTTTAATCTGATTATTATATTGATTAATTCATTATATTACAGATTTTCTTGTTTTTTGTTATTATTTGCACTCCATAGTGAATTACTAAATTAGTTTTTATCATATTTTAATTAGCATTTTATGTGTATAAGTAGCTTGATTGTAAGCAGCTTAAAAATACACAACATGCCTACATATGCCTTCGATTTATTAATTCATGCAATTTTTGGCCACCATTGTGGTCAGTTTAATTTTAATAGTTTATTAGGCAAGCAAAATTTTTAATTACTTTTGTATTTGCTTTGATTTTCAATTGAAATAATTTTGGAATTTTGAGTTTTTGTGTAGCATACATTTAGGCGTACAACATTAATCGACTTAGGAACTTATGCTAGTGCTACTAAATTTGTAATTATGCATGTTTATACTAAGATATCTTGATAGGAAGATAATAAAACTAGAGTTAAAGAAAACATAATTATAAGATATATTTTTTAGATAAATATTCTAACTTGGTCAATATTTTCAAAATACTTATACAAATATATAAACTTTTGCGAGGTATGCTGTATTTAACTCGATTGGTTTTCAAATTATTTTGGATGAAAGTGAAGATTTTAAGCAAAATCTTGTTTTTTTTTTATATCGGTACAAAGTGAAATAAGCCCATTAAATTTACTTACTTACTTGAGACACTCAAGTGTACGGATTTAATCTAACTAAAACTTGCAAATTTATAAAATTGTCTGGTATTTGTTTTATACGTTGTCTTTAAATTTGGGTTCAGTTGGAGTAGTATACAATAATTTCATATTTTTATATGCTTGAATTTTATCTTGAAATTTTTTTTTGATTAGCCACAGATGAAGGAAACAAACTTAACAGAAACTTCCACCATACTCAAGGCTATGGAGACAGATCCAAAGTCATATCGTATCCTAGTAAGTTTGAATGTAGAAGAATTTAAAATTCCTTTGCGGTTTCCTACACCTTCTTTGAACTTTGCAACTAACTGTAATAAAAAGTCTTATAAAAATCAATTATTATCACAAGTATCTGCTAACAACAGCACCAGGGTGCTAATGTGATTATTGGTTGTTTTACGAGTCGCTTGTGTTTAAAATTGGAGCAGAGCTGAGGATGGACGCGAAATAAGCAACGACTTCATAATGAAGGAAAAATGCTTAACATGGATATAAAAATGGCAAAAGAAACTTCAGGAACATAAAATTAAAAAAGTATGGATTTAATGGATAACATTTAGCAAGCAAAAAATTAAGAAAACTAAAGCCATTGTTAAAATTTTGAACAAACTTGCCGATTTAACTCAGCACCTGCGCCATTTAAAGTAAAGAATCAAAAGCAAAAGGCAGAAGAGAGGGCCTTAATTTGCATTACGTGAATCAATACTTAGTTACACACCTACTTTTCGACATACATACATATACACTTATCAACCGCATACATACTTACATACTACCCTAGCATTACATATCACCCACATCCAAGCAGTCAAGCGTAGTATTGATTGTAATCGAACAGCATTTACTGCAAATACGGATTTCTGCTGCTATCCGTTTTTCTCTTTAATCTCGCAAAACTCGCGCTTGGTGCCGATTTTTATTATATTTTTTTTTTGGCAATTTCTTCCTTCTTTTTCGATTAACGTCGGCTTTACAAACTTCTTGTATTTGGATTTTTCGTTATATCTACAGTGACGAACAAAAGTATTGTCACAGAGAATTTTTTGTAATTTATGCAAAGTTTTTTATTGAAATTTATTTTCGCAAATATATTTTTTTAAATGTAGTGCATAAAACAACAAAAATTATAAAAACAAAATCTCTAAACTCTGTGCAAAACTCAATAAATTTGCATACTAATCAGCGATTTTGTAATCAGACTTGTTAGAAAAATCTTAAGTATGCAGTTTTTCAGCCCATTCAATTTTAGTATAACCAAGTGCAAGTTTGAAGTTATATACATAGAATTTTTCTAAAAAATCTGATTAGAAAGTTTAAAATTAGTATGCAAGATTATGGAGTTTTGCTGAGTTTTGCACAAAGTTTATAGATTTTATTTTTTATTTTGTTTTTCGTTGTAAAATTAACTATATTTTTATAAAAAATTAGAGAAAAGAAATTGTAATAAAAAAAAGTTTGCCATACAATGCGAAAAGTTCTTTGTGCCAATACTTTTGTTCGTCACTGTATGTAGATTCTCCCGCACGATTTTTCGTTTATTTATTTGCCATTGTCTGCGCAATTTTAAATGCTTTGTCGCAGCTATCATGAAAATCGGTGCGAGGAAAATGGGATATGTGGGTAGATGAGATAGGCGAGTAAAGCACAAAACCAACAAAAAAAAGGCTGAGAAACAATTTCGATTTCGTATAATTTAAATTGAAACTCTCGCTGGCACATCATCAATGTCGTTCAGGCGTTAGTTTTTTTTTTTCGTTTCTCACACAGATTCGATGGTTTAAAGCGCATAGTAAGCTGCTACAAAGTATGTATGTATGCACGAAGATAGCAAAGACTTCAAGAGAAATACATCCATCCATACACATATAGGTAGAGGAGCGCTTCATAGGGAAAAAAAGCAAAGGAGAACGTCTGTCATTTTCTTGTTGCTTTTAATTTAGTTATTTAAAGAAAATTTGCGTATTTTCTTGTAGCAATCGAAAATTGCTGTGTGCGGCTTTAAGCGCTGCAAATTCGTTTTTATTTAAAATAAAACAATTTTCACCTCGCTAACTCGTATTACTCGCTATCCTTTATTGAGAGCAGCATAGCTTAAGGCGCTCGCTAGCGATATTAAGGGAAACCTCCATGCTTAAAGTAGTATCGTTAACGCTGTGGATTATCAAACAGCTTTGCATTGTCGGCGCTAATATGGCTATTGTGAATTTACAGTAATGGAAATAAAATTTAGTCTTAATGTACACACACATACATATGTATAATAATATGCAAATATAGCGAAATGCTGATAATAGAGAGTTGATGAAAAAAAGGACGACTGCCTATGCTTGCAATGGATTATGCATAGAAGAGCAATAATCACAAAAATGGATTTACTTTAACATTACAAATGGAGTGATGGCAGATGTCATAGTCAAATAATTGTAAGCTGACATTTTAGATAGGCTTCGATTGTATTTAAGGGTAATTGTAAGAGGAATCTCTAAGGCGAATGCGATACAAGAAGAATGTTGAAAAACAAGATGTTAAAAGCCTACATTTTACGTGCTTGAAAAAATGCTATCGTGGAGAGAAAAGAAGGCAGGTGGTATTGGTATTGCTAAAGGTACTGATATCGGCATTCTTTTTGGTGTGGATGTTGAAATTGGAATTCGTATTAGTGTTTGTAATGTTATTGGTATAGGTACTGGTAGCAAATTAGTGCAAGCATTTTTTACTTTTATAACGTTTCAAATGGAAAATTTGATTCTTTTCAAATCAAGCTTCGAAATGAGTAAATAAATAAATGAAGAAATTATGAGAATTCTTTTAGGAAAATCCATATTGGATTCTCGAAACCATGGCTGAAAAGGCCAACGTGTCAAGCAATACCGTTTCGCGAGCTAATAAAATCTATGGCAAACGTCTAGCTACTAATAGGAAAAAAGGAACTGGCATACCAAAGGATTTCGAAACCCCGAATGAAGCCTAGATGAATATATCCTCTTCATATTTACTTTTATCGGTATCCTCATCCTCATCTTTTTATACACCCGAGCGCACTTGTGCACAAGGGTATATTCATTTTGTTTACATAACGGTTGTTTGTAACAGCCAAAACGAATCGAGATAGATATAGACAAATGTATACATAAATGCTCAGAATGAATAGAGAAGTCGATTAAGCCATGTCTGTCTGTCCGTCTGTCCGTCCGTCCGTGTACACGATAACTCGAGCAAAAATTGAGATATCTCAACGAAATTTGGTGTGTGGGTTTCCAATCACCCAAGGTAGGTTGGTATTGAAAATGGGCGAAATCAGACAGTAACCACGCCCACTTCCCATATAACGGTAATTTTCAAAAATACGAAAACTGCGATATTTTAGCAACTACTGGAGATTATTCAATCAAAATTGACATTTACAATAAGTTTTAGACGAAAAATAAGAATATTATAAATTTTTGGAAAATGGGCGTAGCCACGCCCACTTATGGTTACATGTGTATATCTTGGTAACCGCTGCACCAATTTCTTCCAAACTTGGCACAGTTGTTGGCCTTGGTACAGCATAAAAAACCGCCGAAACTTTTTAAAATCGGACAATAACCACGCCCACATCCCATATAACGGTAATTTAGAGAAATACAAAATTTTCGATAAATCATTAAATATTGAAGCTAATTTATTCAAAATTGATGCTTGCAACAATTCTTTACCAAGAAATACGTTTATGGTAAAATTTTGGAAAATGGGCGTGGCACCGCCCGCTTATGATCACATATAAGTATATCGGTAACCGTTCTACCAATTTGTACCAAACTCGGTATGGTTATTGTACTTGCCACGTGTAAGCAAAACGTTGAAAATTATTGAAATCGGACTAAAATAACGGCCGATTCTCATATAACGGTAAATTTAAGAAATGCTTGAAACTTCAATATTTCGAAATTGAAGGACGCTAATTTACTCAAAATTGATACACCTCGGCTTACCATCTAGCGGAAGGTTTCGGAAGGGTGAAAAAACATATATTTAATACTTGCGCCGGGTATTTAATGTTCGGCTCCGCCCGAACTTAGACTTTCTTACTTGTTACTTTTATTTTTATAATTTTCTTTATCTACATATTCCCCTTCATCTTTGCCCTTATATAAGTAAAGTGTTTGAATTTACCTTGGTCTTC